TGCAAATGTGTGTACGAATCTGTAAGATATTAATTTCATAGTGTAAACAGCTTCAGTGATTTTAATGGGAGTTTTTGAGAGTGCTTGAACTAGACTGTCAGTGAAAATGTTCTTTGATAATGTAAATGTTCTTTGCTCTCTTTCTGTACAGTGCAGGTGTTATGATTAGTAGCCTAACTTGCAATGTTTTTATTCACATTAACTTTCATTGTTAAATTCACATTAAATATAAACTCAGTCATAATAAAAATATGTTATGGCATGACACCCATATCTGTTAATTAAGTAAACAGCAGTTTTTTTATGCATAGTTAATAGACTACATTATTAGGTTATTTTGACCATCGCCCACTGTAGATCAACATAATCTATAAAGGTGAGAATCAAGATATTTCATGATATAGTTAATGCGTTTGGGAATGTTTCGAATAAACGGGAAAAAATTTATAAAACATGCTGTTGTGGCTGCTGTGTGTCACTGTGTCACATGACGACTTTTTTTTTGTCTTGTGGACTAAATGTAAACATCTTTAATGTAAAATATCTTACTCAGGACAGTACTAAATAAAAAAGTACATGCATTTTGTATGATCTCTCTTATTTTGTTAAAATTATTCACATTTTCACCGATTCTGCAAGGGGTTCCCAAACTTTCGCATGCCACTGTAATGCTGTCTACAGCTGTCAATACAGGCTCAGAAGTTACATTTCCAACACATGCTTTAAGCAGTTGACCAGTCACAACAGACTGGGTCAGCTGACCAATCAGAGCAGAGTGAGCTTTTCGAAAAGAGATAGGAATGAAAACATTTAAAACTAAAACAGCAGAGGATGAAAAGACGTGCTGCAGCAGTGTACAGTATGAGAAAAATACAGTGTTTTTTTTACTTTAAATCATGTAAATATATTCTTGCAGACCCCCAAAAATAAATTATGAGCTTGTAAATAAGCATAATATGGGTACTTAAAAAAAACAAAAAAAAAAAACAAAGAGAGTGAAAAATAGTGGCTGCAACAGTTACTGCAACAATGCAAAAAAACAGGAACAGGATGTCTGTCAAATGAAATTACATCACTACATTAGTCATTTAAAGTGTTATCTGTTAATATGTCAAAATGAACTTGTTTTGTGTCTAAACAATTATTAGAAAACTATTGAAAATATCTAAAACAAACTGGAGTATTCCTAACATGAATACAAATGAAAATATACCCTGAAATCCAAGGTCAAATATGGGATCATGTTTTTTTTATGTTTTTTTTAGTAGTTCTACAGTTTATGAAATCTGAAAGGAAAATACATTTTTACTTTTTTATTGTTATGAAAATAATAGGTAGAATGCTACACTGCAGTGCAGTGAGTGTATGCAAAGGGGGGTCGACTCCTCACATTGCATGCATA